CAAATATCACTTTCTGCATGTGATCTTTTCTGATTGAATTAACAATATTTGTAAAGTGCTTTGTATAGTGCCTGGTGCATCATAGGTGTTTAATAAATGTGTGTTTCCTTCCCTTGCTCTCCCCTTGATTCCTGCCCCCCCAAGATATTGCTTGGGCCTTCCTTCCAAAACTGACCTTGTATTGTTTTTGTAGATATTTATCTGTGCAGGTGTTATTCTCCCATAAAAGATGAGGAGCTGTTTCCCTTTTAATAATAATAATAGCTAGCATTTGTATAAGGCCTACTATGTGTCAGGCACGGTGCTAAGCATTTTGCAAACATAAACTCATTTTATCCTCACAACAACCCTTATTATCCTTATGTACAGATAAGGAAACTGAGGCAGGCAGAGGTGAAGTGCCTTGCCTAGGGCCGCACATCTAGTAAGTGTCTGAGGCTGGATTTGAACTCAGGTCTAGCCTGACTCTTGGCCAGTACTCTATCTGTGGTGCCCCCTAGAGGCCTTTTGTTTTCATATCCTCAGAATCTCCCACAGTGCCTGACCCATGCGTGCTTGCTGGATTAGGTTGGGTTGGCTGGCCTTTAGATGAAGAGGGTTCACAGGACTTTCAGAAGCCCAGTGATGCACAGAAGACACGTAAAATGCTTAAACAGCCCATGATCTCTCAGAAGACATCATGGGTTGGGGCTGCTGAACATGCCGAACCCTTCCCATTGGACCTTCGCCATCAGAATTACTCCCTGTAATGGGGGAAGGGGAGCATGGTGGTATAGTAAGATCCAGTAAGACCCTTGTTTTTCAAAGTCACAGGGTCCTGTCCTTGCTCCTTCAGACTTCAGAGTCACATGGGAATTTCTCCAAGGACTTTTGCTGTTCAGGATATTCCCTTCTGGGAGGCCAGGTCTCTGAACTCTTGGACCTGCAGTTATCTGTGAAGCAAAAACCAGGATTGACCCCACCCAGGATCATGCTGCTTGGGAGACACAAACCCTCAGTTTCCTCAGCTGTAAAATGGGGATAATATTAGCGCCCACCTCCCAGGATTGTGGTGAGAATTAAACAAGATCATAATTGTAAAGTGCCCAGCATATAGTAGGTGCTTAATAAATGCCTATTTCCTCCCTTTCCTCCCACTTAAATGGCTCCCACTTTAGCTTGGGCCTTCCTTACCTCTAGCCTGGACTGTTGCAATAGCCTTCTAATTGGCTTTCTTGCCTCCAGTCTATGCCTCCTCAGATATATCCTCCACACAGCTGCCTGAATGGTTTTTCCAAAAGTTCAGGCTTGACCATGTCATTCCCCTACTCAGTAAACTCCTGTGGCTCGCTATTGCCCCCATCATTACCTCCTCCAGCTCCTCTGTTTGGCATTAAGTTCTTTACAACTTGGCCCCAGCTAACCTTTCCAGGCAAAATTGTACATTACGTCCCTTGCCATGTACCCTAGTCTAGTCAGATTGGCTTTCTCGTTGTTTTTCACATGTGATTCTCAATCTCCCATCTCTGTGCTTTTGCTCTGGATGTGCCCTATGACCAGAATGCCCTCCCTCCTCACCTCCACCTCTTGGAGTCCCTTATTTCTTTCAAAATCCATCTCAAGGACAAGTTTCTACAGGAAGATATTCTTTTCCTGTTTCCCTCCCTCCCAAGACCACCTGGTACATATTGTCTCCCCCAATAGCATGGAAGCTTCTGGGGTCACGGATGGTTTCATTTTCATTTTTGTCTTTGTACTGCTTAACATTGTGCCTGGTAGACATTAGGTGCTTGGTAAATGCTTGCCTGTTGTATTGAAATGAATGGGCATACATATGTAGGCTTCTGCCATGTGCTGCTGCTGGAAATCTCTCAGTGCCTTGACCACCCCTTATCACCTTGGAGGTAGCCTTGGTCACTCGAAACCAATAAGGGAGAGAAAGGGCTAGATAAGGATTTTTCCTTGGTCAGATAGTGCATGTCTCTCCCCCGTGGAGTATGGACGTATATAACCCCTTGATCAGGGGACAATAGACAAATCTTGATTGGTGATTGGGGCTCCTCTACCTAACGTTATTGGCTATCTGTAAGAGTTTGAGAAAATCTGAAAAAATATTGCAGAGAGGGCAAAGAGAAAGGACCAGTCTTGAGGAGAAACAGAAAAAGAAGTTTTAAGAGACTTTAATCGTGGTTCATCTGTGTTTCTAGACAAGTGCGAAAGAGACATCTCCTGATATATTAAGGGTTGGAGGTGACTCTACTGTGACATTGATCTTAGCCAAAATATTATAAATAGTTTTACATATATATATATATTCATTATATACCTACATTCATTATATGTCCATTTGTCAATAAAAGATATATTTTCAGTAACTTTAATATTTACTTCAACTAAGAAAGATAGGAGTAATTTCTATTAGGAAAGGAGGTTTTCTTTAATTCATTAGATAATACATAATGAACTAGAGTGGGAGCTCAAGCTAATCAATTATCTGATGAGAAAGGGAATGAAAGTTATTAATGAGAAATAAATTATCCAAAAAAAGCAAATACTTATCAATGAGGCAAATGGCAGGTGAAGTGCCTACAAGTGAGGATGCTCAGACCCCAGACCCTTTATCTTCATTACACATGGGGTTACTTGTGTCTTCTCTCCAACCTGCTACAAGGAGGGGGCATCCTTATGTTCTTCATTCAGGTGCCTATGACAATAGTATCATATACTTAACACTGGAAGAGGACTCAAAGGGCATCTTATTGAATTCCTTTTTTTCTTTTAAAAAAACAAATAAGGAAACTGAGGCCCAGAGAATTTACGTGACTTGATAAGTGGATAGAATGCCAAGTTTGGAGTCAGAAAAACCTGAATTCAAATCTGGCCTCAGATACTTACTAGCTGTGTGACCCTGGGCAAGTCACTTAACCTCTGTTTTCCTCAGTTTCCTCATCTGTAAAATGAGCCGGAGAAGGAAATGGCAAACCACTCCAGTATGCTGATCCAAGAAAGCCCCAAATGGATTCAAGGAGAGTCAGACATGACTGAAATGATTCAATAATAGTGCTCTACTTAAGTAAGCCCAAACACGTGGTCTGCTCTCCATTGGCATAGAAGTGGCTCAAATATCCTGATTGTTCCAGGTCTAACCTAAGAGATGAAACATTGATAAAACATTAAAATATGGAATCCAGTACATGCAAACTTTGGCTCTGCCTTCCTTCTCACCTCTCTTTTGGAGGTGTTATTTCAGTTTTCTTCCCTTGGGACTCAGTGTACGAGCATGCAGCTTATTCTACATGATATAAAATAAAAGAGAAATGTGCAGAGCTCTTCTTGGTCCAAATGGAGACCCGATGCCCATTCCTCTTTCAGACCTTTGGTAAAGACAAGAGAAGTCCTGATACCCACAGCTGAGGAAGGACATGCACCCTCCCTTCTCAGTCTCACAGAATCAAGCAAATCAAGGGAGACGTGACTTTGGCTCAGCTCATCAGCCTGATAGTGAACAAGGCTCCTGGTAGCTGTGGTTCTTAGCTAATTCTTGGAGACACCTCATAATCTTAATGTTTTTTAGTGATTCAGTTCTTGAACTGAAAGAGGTAGCTAAACAGGTGAAGTTTTCCCATGTAAAAATGTCTCCTCATCCCTTATTATGAGCTATTCCCCCTCCCCCCCACCCCAGGAACTGTTGTCCAGCCTTTTTGACATCTTATATATATATTTTTGAAATTGATTTTTTTTGTTTTGTTTTTTGTTTTAGGCAACTGAGGTTAAGTGACTTGCCCAGGGTCACACAGCAAGTAAGTGTCAAGTGTTTGGTCTGAGGCTGGATTTGAGTTAGGGTCCTCCTGACTTCAGGGCTGGTACTCTATCCATTGCGCCACTTAGCTGCCCCCTGAAATTGATTTTTTGAACCTAAAGGTAGGACTTTGCATTTGTCCTCATTACATTTCATCTTATTAAATCTTGCCCAATGTTCTAGCCTGACATGATCTTTTTGGATTTTGCCTCTGTTGTACAATATATTAACACTTCCTCCTGGCTCCATACCATTTAGTAATTTGATGAGCCTGTCATGTATGTGATCACTGATAAAAAATGTTGAACAACACATAACGGAGGACAGACACCGGACATGTCCATACAGGTCGATATCAACCCATGAATCTCCATTCTTTGGGCTTTGTAATTGCTATTGGGTGTGGTCATTTCTAGATCATTTAGTCTAACCCTTGTTTTTCAGCTCACAGAGGGAAGAAACCTTAGTGATCCAAAGTCCTCATGTTACATCAGGGAAACTGAACAACAGAGGGGTTAAGTGACTCCCGGTATTACCCCAGTAGTAAAGAGCAGAGCTAGGATTCAAACCCAGGACCTCCAAATTGTGCATTGAGGAGGCTGAGTTCTGTAGTCACATAGAGTTTGAGGCAGATATCTCGGCTCTTCCCACGATGCTGTGCTGTGTTTCCTGAAGCGGGTGATCCAAGGCAAATTGTATCCAGGCTGCTCAGGGCCCCGTTCACTCTCCCTTCTGTCTCCCAGATAGGGGAAGGGAAAGGGCTGGGTTTGCGCGTGCTGGACAGAGATAGCTGCAACCAGCAGCTTGCTGGCAGGGTAAGACTTATCTCTCGAGCTGAATTCTGTAACTCTACTATGTACCTAGAGTGACTCACCCATTTATGGTATGGGCTCCAATTAGTTCTGGTGCTTGAAGTCATGGCCTTTGGGCCACACTCAGGGGAACCAGTCAAAGAGTGTGTGATTGTGGATGGATGGCCAGAGACAAGGAGGGAGAAGGGAACTCTGTGTGTGTGTGTGTAGAGCCAGTTTCTGCAAGGGTGGACCAAACCTTCAGAATGTACTAGACCAGGGCTTCTTAAGCTTTTTCCACTCACAACCCCTTTTTCTCCGAGAAATTTTTACATGACCCTGGGTATCTAGGTATATGAAATAGGTATAAAAATCAAACATTTACTGATAATGAATCATAAAGAAATTTATTTTAAAACACTTCTTTGGCATTCATTTAATTTTACCATTTATTAAAGACAAAAGCAAATTTGCATACTCGTGAGATAGATGTGCTCGTTTATTTCTACATAAAGAGCTAAATCTTGGTGGAATATTTGATACTGCAGGATCAGAGCAACTATATAGAATATAGTTCCTGACAACTATATAGAACAATATGGTTCCTGACAACCAAGAACTATATAGAACAAGTTTTTCAGAGTTGATCGATATTTTGATTTTATAACCATCAGTGTTGTGTTCAGAACCAAGGCTGCAGTAAAGTCGCACTATGCAACATGCGGCAAGTGCTGCCAGAAACACCTCCGATTCATTATGCGTTTGATTTTGAATTAATTTTTGATCATTGCTTGTTCAGAAACCTTTTATTGTTGCCAAATTTTTCATGTCCCCTAATATATGTGACCCTCTATGGGGTCCTCATTCACAATTTAAGAAGTGCTATAAAGCAGGCTGCATCTACAGGGTCCCTTGGAATCATTGAGTATAATCCTCTCATTTTACAAATGAGGACCCCAAGGTTCAGATAATGACTTGTCCAAAGTCACATAACTAGGTTAGAGAGTAGGAACTTGAACCTAGGAATCATTGAGTATAATCCTCTTATTTTACAGATGAGGAAACTGAGGCTCAGAGAAATAGAATGACTTGCCCAAGGTCACATAGCTAGGTAGGAGAGCAGAACTTGAACCCAGGTCTTCTGACCCCAGAGTCAGGGTTTTTCCTATGACGCCACACTGGCTGGTTCGTTGCTTTTCATTGAGGGGGCCTGAGGCTGGCCATCATGTTCCTTCCTTGCCCCTCTGCGCTCACTTGGTCCAGACTTGCAGGGACAAAAGAGGGCCGGTGTTAGTATCTTGTCAGGATGAGAGATGTCCTGCCTATAGCCACAGTCTGTCCCTGTTGCCTCGTTTCCCCAGCAGCCTGATACCCCAGGCTCTTGGAGAAGCCTAGAATTGTAGAATGTTCAAATTCTTCAGCCTGGCATTTAAGCCCTTCCTGGTCTTCTTTTCTCCTTATCACATATGCTCAGTACTCTAGGTGACTCTGTAGACCTTTACAGGACCTGTACTCTCTCACCGCTGAGCCTTTGCTCACATGGTTCCTGGGAGCAACCTACCTTTCCCTCTTCAGCAGGAACATTGCTACCGAGCTGCCCCTGATCTCACGCAGCACTTTGTACCTCTCTAATGCACTTAGTAGGCCATGAGACAGCACCATGGTGCTCAGAGTGCTGAGCCTGGAGTCAGGAAGACTCATCTTCCTGAGTTCAAATGTGGCCTCAGAAACTTCCTAGCTGTGTGACCCTGGGCAAGTCACTTCACCCTGTCTGCCTCAGTTTCCTCGTCTGTAAAATGAGCTGGAGAAGGAAATGGCAAACTACTCCAGTATCTCCGCCAAGAAAACACCAAATGGGGTCACAGAGAGTTGGACACTACTGAAGAGGAACAATGAAAATGTCCTCAGCGTGTTGTACTGTATATTTCAGTTCTCTCTGCATTTCTTAGTCCCTGATTAGACTGTGAGCCCTGCAGGGACAGAGAAAAGCTCTTCTCCAAATCGTCTCAAGTGCCTTGTGCACAGTAGGTTCTGGAAAATTGCTTGTTGAATTGAAATGAACTGAATTGAATTTCAGAGTGAAGAGGAACCTTGGAGATCACCTAGACCAACCTGCTCAGAGAGGGCAAGCAATTTATCTGAGGGAGCACAGCAAGTTGATGCAAGATCAGGTTGCTGACGGCTCTGTGTTCTACACCTCTGATGGTCTGTGTTCTAAGGCCTCTCACAGCTCTGACCTTCCGTATTCTAAGGCCCCTCCCAGCTCTGACATTCCCTGTTATAAGGCCTCTCCCAGCCCTGACCTTCCCTGTTTTAAGGGTCCTCTCAGCCCTGACATTCCCTGTTCTAAGGGCCCAGCCCTGACATTCCCTGTTCTAAGGGCCCTCCCAGCTCTGACCTTCCCTGTTCTAAGGCCTGACATTTCATGGTCTAAGGTTTTCCCAAGCAGGACATCTTATGTTCCATGGTTTAAGTCTCTTTTTAGGCTTCCCTCCATTCCCTATTTGCTTTTACCTCCTGGACTGAAGGGATAGGTCTTCCAGGCTCAGAAACACCCACATTTACTGTTCCTTCCTTTCCTGCAAAGGAGAGAGGAGAGGGAAGTCAGAGAGATGGAGAAACAGGAGAGGGCTCCCCTCCTCAGTCCCTAATTGGGACTGAGCAAGGAGAAGAAGTGTTTGGGGCCCAGTAGGTGATTGGGGAACATTGTCTTTTTTATGGCAGGGGAGAGGGCTGTCCTCTTGGTAGAAGACATGGGCTGGGCCAGTGTGTGTTGTTACCTAGGTTCCCTCAGAGACGGAACTAGGATGCAGCAATGGGGCTTGGCCTCAAGGTAGCAAAATTCATAGGGGCTATGTTATAAAAAGATGAGTTATTCTATGACAATGACATTGATCAAGAAGCACAAGGTCCTGGTTTGCCTCCATGAGGGACAGGTTACAGAATTTTACATGACTCACTCAGCACCATGCCACCCCAGGAGGAGGGCTGCTTTGGCATGCCCAAGGAATGCCCACCAATTACCCGATGAAGGGGAGGTCTTCCTTACATCAATGCCTTCCTGTTGATCACAGAGGACATTATGACCCCGATGAAGATGACTATCCCTGATGTTCCTGCAATGGTCAGGACGATGGCAGGAGCTCCAGAGAGGGCATAGATGGAATCCGGTTCGCTGGGCTCTGTGTCAGTGTCCTCTGAAGGGGGCTCTAGGAATGAGGAGACTTATGGAGGGAGGGCCTGGGGACACTCTGGCCAAGCTCCTGGCCCACCTTCCCCACCAACTACAAAGTGGAAGAGAGCCATGGGAATGTCATGGGAATGTGTGTCCAGACCTTCTATGTTGGCCTCAGTTTCTTAATCTGTAACCGTTCAATTCAACCCAACGAGCACTGACTGAGACCCTACAGCGGTGCTTAGCACTGGAGCTAGGCACTGGGCATACAAAGACAAAAAAGAATCTGTCCCTGCCCTCTAGGAGCTTACATTCTACTAGATGGTGAGATACAGTGTCATACACAAGAATAGGGACAGGACATTTGGGATTGACACAGGGAACTCCTGGATCAGGAAACTCCCTCCGCCAATGCTGACTGGCATCTTCTAGTCTTAGAGAGGTACCTGGGGGCTCAGAGAGGTTCAGTAACATGTGTCAGAGGTGAGACTTAAACCCAGATCTTTCTGTTTGCAAGGTCAGCTCTCTATCAGCTGTTACATGCTGCCTTATGGAAACAAAGTCGGTCTAAAGCGTTTTGGGAGCAGAGTCGAGAATGCTAGCAACTGAAGGGACCCAGAAGGGCCTTGTGTGAGAGGTGGTCCCAGAATGGAGCCTTGGAAGGAGCAGGAGGAGGTGAGGAAGTAAAGTGTACAGTTATGGGGAACAGCTTGCGCAAAGGAATGGTGGTGGGAGATGGTCTGCTTCCTTCTGGAAGAGGACCAAGGCATCATGGAGGTGATGCCATGACATGCAGGTGAATGGTACTTAAATGAGGGAGGGCTGTGCAAGGTCACCAGCCTCACGCTCTCCTCCGGAGCCAGCGGGGTCTGGCGGCCATCAATCATGACAATGACATCTTCCTTAATGGAGGTCTTTAGGGAGAGGGTAGACAGTTACCTACTGAGGGTGTTGCAGAAGGGATCTTTGTTTAGTTGTGAGCTGGATGTGAACAGTTTCTGAGGTCTTTTCCAACACTAAGATTTCTTATCCTGGCATTCAAAGCTCTCCACCCTCTGGCTTCATGTTCTATTTCCAACATTCCCCCACACCTTCATGCACTTTAAATTTTGGCCCAACTGGACAAATCATGCTATGCTTGTCTCCTCTCATCCTCTCCCACTTTTGGGCATTCAGTCAGGCTTCCCTGACACCACCCTTCCTTCTTCTCTGGGATGCAACCCCTCACCATCTCTGCCTCTGAAATCTTCTGGCCCCTTGGCTCAGGGGCTGCCTCCTCCAAGAAGCCCTCCCTGGGCCTGTCTCTTGGAAGTGATGTCCCCATCTCTGAACTCTTTTCCCTCTCTGCACATTGTAACTGGGATGAGAGTCACTCATGTATAGGTCTCCGTCACCTCCACTCCCCTTTTCTGCCCTGTTTCAGCTTTGCACCCTCATGTATGTGTCACAGAACCACATTTCTACGGCTGAAAGGGGCCTTAAAGACTCTAATCCTTTCATCTTACAGATGAGGAAACTATCGTCCCCCCCCCCCCCCCCCCGCCACTTCTCGACCCAACGCCCAGCCCCCTCTTTCAGCCCAAGGCAGAAACACCCTAATTCAGGACCTCCATCACCTGGATCACCAGCAGCCTCCTAATTGGTCTCTCTGCTTCCTTCCTTCCCCCTTTCTGATTCATCCCACAGGCAGCTGCCAAAGCCACATTCCCAAAACACGTCAGACCATGGCAGTCCTTCACTCAAGAAGCATCAATAAGGACTTCTCATGGCCCTTAGGAGAAATGCAAGGTCCTTGTTTTTGCATTTAAAGACCTTCATAATCCAGAGCCAGCCTGTCTTCTCAGGCCCATCGCTCTTCCTCACTACTCTACTGCTCTCTATACTCTGGCCGAACTGACCTGTTTGCCATTTCCCAGACGTGACATTCCATCTCTGGCCTCCTTGCCCTCAGCTGTCCCTGGCCTGGAATGTTCTCTTTCCTTGCCTCTGTTTCTTCAAACAGTTGCTCCTCCCAGAGCTCTGCTCAAGGGCCACCTTCTACAAGTGGCCTTTCCAGATTCCTCCCAGTTTTTGGTCCCCTCCCTGAGTCACGTTGCATTTATTTTATATAGATTTCATTTTTGCTGATTTGTGAACATGTTGCATGTATTATCGGGCATTGTGGTTTTGTACAAAGAATGCTGGCTTTGAATTCAGAGGATCTGGGTTCTAATCCCAGCTTTGCTGCTAATTTGCTACCTGTGGGACTTTGGGCAAGTCACCTAACCATTCTGGGCCTCAGTTTCTCCATCAGATAACCTCTGAGGTCCCTTTCAGCTCTAAATCCCAAGGCCACACTGGGTCATGGGATGACACAGTTAGAGCTGGAGGGGACCTTCCAGGCCGTCTTGTCTATTCCCTTTATTTGACAGAGGAGGAAACTGAGGCCCAGAGAGGTCAAGGAAGGCATTCCAGGCCACACCACCAGTAAGGATAATTCACGTCTGGGCTCTCTGACTTCAAACCCAATGACCTTTCCACTATAAGACAAACTTCTCCCTCCACTGAGCTCTCACGGCCCTGATTGCTTATAATGATCACTTGGTGCTGGGTCTAGACCTGCAGGTGCTGTTAATGACATTGGTCAGGGCAAGTATTAGACCACTTTTACAGATGAGGAAACTGAGGCACGGAGAGGTTAATTGACTTGTCCACAGTCACTCAGCCAAAAATTGACAGAGGCAATATTGGAACCCTAGTCTTCTGAGGCCAAGCCTAGCACATTCTCCATGACCACGTGAAGTGCTGCTTCCCCTCCCATAGGAGCTAGTGTGGGTGTCTCGCACACCAAAGGGGCTTACTAACTGCTTGTTAGTTGATTTGGGGCTGGGTGAGGGTGGGGCCATCAATGATGAGCTCACCAGGCAGCTGCACGTGGACGGGGTTGGAGGTCCTCAGACCCACGCTGTTCTGAGCTGTGCATGTGTAGTTGCCTAGGTCCTTCTTGGCCAGTCTCCGGATAACGTACGTGTCTTGGGTCCCACACACGTTGCCGTTAAGGGACCAGGTGATCAGGGGACTGGGGTTTGCCATAGCCGAACAATGTAGGACCACGGAGTAGTTGAGGTCACTCACAACGGTGCCCTCATATGGTTCTGGATATGATGATGTCACCACTGATCCAGGCCCATCTGTGGGGGGTAGAGGGTGTCACAGTGAGGAGGACAACTGGGGGTTGGCAGCCTGGGAGAGAGAGGGTTACAGAGAGAGAAGGGGGCCAGGGATTCCCTGTAAGTTGAGATGGAACAAATGTGGAGAATTAGAAAGGCAGGATGTGAGAACTGGGAGGGTCCTTAGGACAGGGAATGTCAGAACTGGAAGAGGCCTTAGGACAAGGATTACTGGAACTGGGCGGTGCCTTAGAACAGGGGATATCAGAGCTGGGAGGGCCCTTAGAACAGGGAATGTGAAGGTCTCCAATGTTCTGTGTTAAGTTCCTTCTGGCTCTAACATTCTGTGTTCTAAGTCTCTTTCCAGCCCTGACCTTCTGCATTGCATGTTCTAGTGGCCTCTCTAATCTTCACATTCTAAGTTCTGCTAACCCTCCCAACTTGGACATTCTGGCATTCATCCTACATGTATGCATATGTGTGTCCAAGGATCCATGTACGAGTTTTGATGTCCTGCCTGGATTAGGCATAGCTATCCCATTATGTCAAGGTCTGGGCTTGGTTTGTTTGGGGCTTGGGATTGGGTTCCCCCAGGATGGTTCCCTCCCTTACCAATCTCCCTACACCTCAGTGCTGGAGGTGTGGATGGTTCTCCCCTTACCTATGAGCAGGAACCTCTTCCAGGGGCTGCCCCAGCCATGTGGAGGGGCTCTGGACAGCTCCATGACTCTGCCCCTTCAGGGGACTTCCACCCTGTTTGCCAATTCTTGCCTCCGCTTCCTGAGCTGGATTGTTTCTCAACCAGCGGCAGGTGTTGCTTTTGTCCAATCCTGGCCCCAGGACAAGCCTGGCCCTGTCATTGGCTTTGCTCTCGGTGACTTGGCTTGCCATGCCCAGGATCATGTGGTCTGTTTGTCTGGCAGGGACTTTGCCCTTGACCCACTCCTCCCTGAGCGGTACCCAAGTTCTCCTGCCACCCCAGGTGAGCCCCTCCCATACTTAAACCCCTCTGCCCTGCTCCAGAGTCCTTCAGGGACCTATCAGCTCTCTCCACATTCCAACCCACCTCTCTATCCATGAGAGAACCTCTCTGTGTGTGTGGCTTTGGTGTGGAATAATATAATAACCAGTAACATTTACATAGTGCTTTAAGCTCATAATAACCCTATGGCTGGTCACACAGTCAGCGTCTTAGGTAAGATTCTTTCTTGAATCATCTGTCTCTGAGGTCTTCACTCTTTCCATTTCTCCTCTGAGAAGCCCAGGTCCTCTGCTGCCTCATTCCCGGGGAAAGAAGAGAAGAGGGACCACAGTTAATTTCCCTCCCCCTGCCCAAGCTCAGTGTAGACTCTAGGCCCCATGAGATTGGGACTAGAGAAGAATGGGGTGGATAGGGTCTCTGTTCTGCACTAGGATGGGAGCTGAATAACGATGCCCTTTCTGGGTCCTCTGGGTCTTTAAAGGGGCAGACATTCCTATTCCTTCCTCTCACAGTTCTGTGGACTTTTCTTTTCCTCCTCTCATGTCCCTGTCAAATTATCTGTACCAAACTCTTCCTCAACCCTCCTGGGCAAAGGTTCCCAACTTATCATATATAGCCCAGGAATGATAAGGCTAATGGACATGATTTGTTTCTTTTATTGGTCTAAAATTAATAGGATAAATATTCTCATTGTATTAGTTGCTGAGTCATGGGATCAGATAGAGATAGGCAATTCCTTCTTTAGCCGTCTTCCTGCTCTCTCCCCTCCACCTTTGTTTTCAGGGCAACATGGTGTAATGGGAAAAGTCTTGAACTGGGTTCTAGCCTTGGTTCTGACAACCCCTTGGATAGAGAGTGGATCAGTGATTTCAAAGGCATAGGGAACTCCCAGGGGAGGAAACTCCCTCTACCAGTGCAGGTTGGTGTCTTCTCTTATAATTCTAGAGAGAGTTTTCTAGAACATGGAGAGGTTAAGTGACTTATAGAGGGTCTCGCAGCCAGTGTGTGTGTGTGTGTGTGTGTGTGTGTGTGTGTGTATGTGTGTGTGTGTGTGTGTGTGTGTGGTGTGCACGTGAGTGAGAGAGAGAGAGAGAGATAAACACAGGACTTTCTGGCTCTGAGGTCAGCTCTCTATTCACAATACTGTTTATCTACTATTAATCTCTTTCTCTTTCTGGGTCTCAGTTTTCTTACTGAGAAAGTGAAATGTACCCTCCTCTCTTCTGGTTCTGGTACTATAATCAAATCAGCTCTGCTACTGTTCCTGGAAGGGATGTCTTCAACCCCCTGCCCCTGCTTACAAACTCTGAAACTTTCTGGATCAAAGTCCCTCTTCCTGGCTACCACTCCCTTGTGGGTCATCTTTCCCTATTAGAATATAAGCTTCTTGAGGACAGGGATGAAATTGCTTTTCTATTTATATCCCAGTACTTATCATAGTGCTTGGAACATTTTGTTGTTGTTGAGTCATCCAGTAATGTTCAACTTTTTGTGACCCCATGGACTATAGCACGCAAGGACCTTCTATCCTCCCCTATCTCCTGAAGTCTATCCAAGCTCATGTTCATTGCTTCTATGACACTATCCATCCATCTCATCCTTTGACATCCCCTTTTCTTTTTGCCTTCAATCTTTCCCAACATCAAGGTCTTTCCCAATGAGTCCTGTCTTCTCATTAGGTGGCCAAAGTATCTGACCTTCAGCTTTACTATTTGTCCTTCCAGTAAGTAGTCTGAATTAATTTCTTTAAGTATTGACTGATTTGCTCTCGTTGCTATGCAAGGGACACTCAAAAGCCTAAGTTGAAAGTATTCATTCTGTGGCACTCAGCTTTCCTTGTAGTCCAACTCTCACAGCCATACATTGTTACTAAAAAAACTATAGCTTTGACTACATGGACCTTTGTTGGTAAGATGATGTCTCTGCTTTTTAGTATGCTATCTGTATTTTCCATAGCTTTCTTTCCAAGGAGCAAGCATTTTTTAATTTCATGGCTGCAGCCACTGTCTGCAGTGATCTTTGAGACCAAGAATATAAAATTTGACACTACCACTTCCGAGTTTTTCCTTCAAGTCAGCTTTTACACTCTCCTCTTTCACCCTTATTAAGAGGCTTCTTAATTCTTCTTTACTTTCTGCCATCAGTGGTATCATCTCCATATCTGAGATTATTGATTTTTCTCCCAGAAACCTTAATTCTGGCTTTTGATTCATCCAGCCTGGCATTTCACATGATGTACTCTGCATGTAAGTTAAATAAATAAGGTGACAGCGTACATACAGCCTTGTCATTCTCCTTTTCCAATCTTTATTTCATATTTGGTTTAAATTGTTTCTTCTTGATCCACACACAGGTTCCTCAGGAGAGAAGTAAGATGACCTGGTACTCCTATCTCTTCAAGGACTTGCCACATTTTGTTGTGATCCACACAACTAAAGACTTTAGCCTAGTCAATGAAGCAGAAGTGGATGTTTTTCTAGAGCTCCCTTGCTTTCTCCATAAGCCAGCAAATGTTGACAATTTGGTCTCCAGTTCCTCTACCTCTTCAAAACCCAGCCTATACTTCTGGTAATTCTCAGTTCACATATTACTGAAGGCTAGCTTGCAGAATATTAAAAAAATTAATATTTTATTTTCCCCCAATTGCATGTAAAACAATTTTTAACATTCATTTTTTTTCAAAAATTTTGAGTTCCAAATTCTCTCCCTCCCTCTCCCTCCCCATTGAAAAGGCAAGCAATTTGATATAGGTTACATGTCTGCAGTCATGCAAAACGTATTTCCATATTAGGCATGTCGTGAAAAGGAAACACAGACCAAAACAAAAACACCCAAGAAAAATAAAAGAAAATGAAAAATAGTATGCCTCCATCTGTATTCAGACTCCATCATTTCTTTCTCTGGAGATAGCATTTTTCATCATAAGTCTTTCAGAATTGTCTTGAATCATTGTATTGTTGAGAATTAGCTTGCAGAATCTTAAGCATAACCTTAAACCTTAAAGGAGCAAAATTTCATTCTTTGGCATTTTCCTTTCTTTAGGATTGGGACATAAACTGATCTTTTCCAATACAGTGGCGCTTGTTGAGTTTTCTAAATTTGCAGGCTTACCGAGTGCTGATGTTAGCGTCAGCATCTTTCAGGATTTTAAACAGCTCAGCTGGGATTCCATCACCTTCACTAGCTTTTGCTATGCTTCCTAAGGCCCTCTTGACTTCATTCTCCAGGATGTCTGGCTCTAGATCAGTAACCACACCATCGCGGTTATCGGGGTGTTAAGATTTTTCTTGTATAGTTCTTTGGCGTGTTCTTGCCATCTCTTCTTAATCTCTTCTGCTTCTGTTAAATCCCTACCATTTTTTTATCTTTTCCATGCCTATTTTTGCATGAAACTTTCCCTTGCTATCTCTAATTTTCTTGAAGAGATCTCTTGCCTTTGACATTCTGCTTTTTTCTTCTATTTCTTTGCGTCACTCATTTAAGAAAACTCTTGTGTCTTTCCTTGTTATTCTCTGGATTTCTGCATTCAGTGTGCTTAATGAATATTTATTTCTTATTTATTTCATTTTAGGGCAGATGGCATGCCTTTGAGAGAAAGTGTGTGGTTCAGGAGAGAACTCCCTGGAGAGGACATTGGGGAACTCTGCTATTGACTTTCCGGATGATTGTGGGCACGTCCCAGGTGCACAGCTTTCTCATCCGCCAAGAAGTGTGGGAGGTGGGGTGGGGCTAAGTGTGTTAGCTGATGGCCAAGGTTTCCTTCCAGACAGACATTCTATATTCTGGACCCTCAAGCTCCTTTCCACTCTGATGCTCTGTGTGCTATGCTTTCATGTTCCTTCCTCCTCTAGTTTGATCATCAGAGCTTTGATATCTGATGCACTCTGTGTTTTCAGTTTCTTCTCAGTTTTATCAGTCTATATTTTAAAGTAACTCACTTCTCTGATGTTCTATGCTTAATATTCTAAGGTCCCTCCCAGTCCTAACATTCTGTGTTCTAAGGTTATTAACATTTTATTTCATGTTCTATTTTAAAAGGTCCTTTCAACCAATATTCGGTCATCTCTCCCAATTCTGAAATTTTATGTCCTAAGTCCCCTCCCACTCTTGACATTTTCTATTCTAAGATCTCTTCCAGCTCTGACATTACATATTCTAAGGCCCTTCCCAGCTCTGACATTCCCTTTCCAAGGTCCCTCCCATCTCTGACATTCTTTGTTGTCAGGCCCCTCCCCGCCCTGATATTCCCTTTTCTAAGTCCCTTCTCAGCCCTGACATTCCCTGTTCCAAGGTCCCTCCCATCTTTGACATTCCCTGTTCTTTTTTTTTTTTTTTTTAGGTAATTGGGGTTAAGTGACTTACGACTTACCCAAGGTCACACAGCTAGTAAGTGTCAAGAGTCTGGTCTGATACTGGATTTGAACTCAGGTCCTCCTGACTCCAGGGCCGGTGCTCTCTCCACTGTGCCACCTAGCTGCCCCTGACATTCCCTGTTCTAAGACTCCTCCCATCTTTGACATTTCCTGTTCTAAAGCCCCTCTCAGCTCTAGCAATCTGTGAATCTATCCCTTCAGCTCGCCAGAGAAACCATTTGTGATGTCCAGACCAAAGGATGACATTCTTTGTGTTTATTCAGGCTGTCATGCTGTCCCCCGTCTCTCCCACAGCTTGCTAGACTTCTCTCCTCAACTTCAGTTACCTGTGGAGGAAGAATGGATGAGGTTCATATGTGGCCTGGGGGAGGGGGCTCCTTGGGGGGGACTGAGACCCATCCTGGCTGCCGGAGCCACGCCCCATGACCCCTAGGCCCCTCCCTCCCACACCTTGCCACTGAAACTCACTGTCCTTGGCAAGGGAGTAGCTGTTACATCTATCTCTAATTATGTGCCTTCCATGATAGGACAAACCGGCTGCTTGCTGTTCCTCTCTGCCTCTGGCCATAAGCTGCCCCCATGTCTTAATGCCCACCTTCCTCTCCCTGGCCACTAGGAATCCCTAGCTTTCTTCAGGATGGCCCCCTCCTCACCCGCTAGTGTCTCCTCCCACCCCAATTACCTTGTATTGACCTTACAGGTATTTTGCAAACTAATAAATGAGTTCATGTTGTTTTTATTGATAGAATGGAAGCTCTTTGAGGTCAGACTGTCTGGTTTTGGTCTGTACCCATGTTGCCCAGCATGGGCTAGTGTCTGCTGTGGTAGGTTGATTGACTTTGGAATAGTTATTGAATTGAATTGAATTTTAGGCCCAGAGAATGATGGTATGGGAGATGAAGAGGGCAGGACAGACAAGAAGGAGGTGGGCAGGCCAGTGTGTGGCTGGACTGGAGCATAGGGTACCAGAGGGGAGAAGTCTGAGACTCAGGTAGCAAGGCCGAGCTAAACTAACTGATGGGTGGTAATGAGGAGGGTGACCTCTGTCGGGTGGCAGGGGGCTGTGTGAGAGGCCAGAGCTCCATGCATTGGGGGCCAGGTGAGAGGCCTGTGTCTTCTGCCCTGGAAAGCCAGCAGTCTGGCTTTGGGCGATGGATTGCTAGGAGGATGGACCTTCTGCTCAGAATCACCTTCCCCCCGTCCAAGCCTGTCCTCCTTTCTGACCCTGCTGCCTCCCACCAGCCCAGCATGACATGGTACTTCTGGAAAACAGGTAGAAGACGAAGGTTCCTATGAGGCTTAACAGCATCAGGCTGACGCCAATACTGAGGAAGATGACGGTTCCTTGCCCGATGGTGTAGGAAGGCTTTACGATGGGAATGGAGGGCTCTATATACCAAGGAGGGAGTCAGGTGTGGTCTTCCTTGGCCCTCCCATCACAGGGCAGACCTCTCCTCCCTTGGGACTCTTCCAGTGTGGGTGCTAGATGACCACGCCTTTGGAGTGGGAGGGAGCCTTCTGTGTGGGAGTACCCTGGGTCCCCGGATGGACTGCTGGCTCCCCATGGATTCCAGGGAGCCTGCTCTAGCCAGCTGAGGCTCTGCCTAACATGGGAGGGGGATCTCCTGACGCCCCTGCTTCCTAGCGCTTTCTTCCTCATGATTTCTCTGCGTGCCTGCTGTAGCCGTGGGAGCTTGGTGGGGGAGAGGGCTGACTGGGCATCATTGACATAGCATGCAAATGGGTGTTTAATAAATGCTTGTGGAGTTGGGCATATAGGAGGGGCTGAGACAATCTCAGGTATGACTGCCGAGTCATAGGACATCAGAACTGGGAAGGGCCTTAGAACATGGACTGTCAGAGATGGGAGTTGGGTGACACTTTCCAGGAAGACTTACCATAAACTTTGAGGGTGACAGTGGAATACAGAACCACCCGGGTCTTGGGGTTCTCTGCAATGCACCTGTAGGTGCCCACATCTCCCCAGGACATGGTGCTGATGTTGAAGGTGCTGCTGGTTGTAGCCAGGGCACTGCCATTGAGAAGCCATCGATACAAGCACGCAGGCTGGGATGTTGCCTGGCAGTACACATTCACACTGGAGCCCAGCTTGGCATTGATGGTGCCCCGGTGGAGAAGAGGGATGGAGCTTATGTCTATGGAATCTGGCCCATCTGTGATGACAGAAAGGAAGGACGCTGGTCTCCGGCCCCTCTCCCTCCCCTGTCCTTTAAGGTCTAATTCCACTTCTTCCTCCTTTATTCATTGACACGTGTATTCAGTCATGCATTCAAGTGCATTCATATACTCTCTCTCATTCATTCATGCACACACACATTTATTCATTCATGCACTCATGCATTCAAATGTATTCATGTACTCATGTACTCATTCGCTCATACTTACATTCATTTATTCATGCATTCATTCATTCTCATTCTAATACAGCTTCTCAAATCCCTAAACTTTTTTAAACACCTTCTCTATGCACACCCTGCTGGCACTAAGTCTACAAAGGGAAAAATACAGCTGTTTCTGCCCTCCAGGACCTCGTGTGGATGCATGCAATGCATCCACAGATCGGCAAATGACAGAAATGTGGTTTTGGTTTGGATCTGTCATTTCCTTGGCATAGGGAACTTCCAGTAAGAAAACTCCTTCCACCAATGCATGTCATAATCAACTCTGCAACTTCAGAGTTTTAAAGTGTTTCCTATAGACATTGGGAGGCTGAGGACCTGCCTGGGGCCCACTGGCGGGGCTGGGGTCAGGCCTTATACCCAGTTCTTCGTGACTCCAAGGCTGATTCTCTATTTTCTGGACCAGGTTACCTAGCAAATGTAAAATATGCAAAACACACGTAATATAAAAGCCGACACAAAGTCACTTCTTGTGGGTGAAGGGGCCCAGCTAAGGACTTTTGCAGGAAGTGGACCTTGAGCTGGGACTTCAGACTCCCAGAGGTGGAGGTGTGGAAGGAGTGTGTTGGTGCACCAAGGATGGACAACCTATGTAAGGTATAGAGGTAGCAGGTAGAAAGTTGTGCACATTTGGTGGGGAAGAAGGGTATACAGTTGGCATGAGGTCAGTCTGGAAAGGAGGCCTGGAGCTAGAACATGATGGGTTCAAAAGACCAAACAGAGGAAATAGGAAGCCACTGAAACATCTTGAGCAAGGCAGTGACATGGTAAGATCTGAGCTTGACACTCAGCACAGAGCCTAGCACATAGCAGGTGCTTAATTAATGTTTATTGACTGACTGGACTTTTAAGAACCTCAATCTGGTAGCTGTAAAATTAGGAGACCCTTGAAAGCAGTCCACGTGAGAAGTTGTGAGGGAGTGAGCTGTGGTGGTAGTCATGCACAGAGAAGGGGAGGGTGGATGAGGATCAGCAGTAGATTTTCCCCAGGAAGGGCCGACCAGGGAGTCAGGAAGACCTCTGTTCAAGTGTTGGCCCCCTCACCTCCTGGCTGGGGGACCCTCAGACCCTGGACCCTCAGGGCTCTGGGCAACTCTTGAGGCAGTGGTTCTTAAGCTTTTTGGTCTCAGGGTTACTTTTCACTCTTAAAAATTATTGAGGACTCCCCCCAAAATACTTCTGTTTATGTGGGTTACTGATAGGGCACAGTAGATAGAGCTCTGGCCTTAGAGTCAGGGAGACCCCAGGTCAAATTCAGCCTCAGATACTTTCTTGTGTGGTGACCCTGGGCAAGTCACTTAACCTCTGTCTGCCTCAGTTTCCTCAGCTGTAAAATGGGAATGATAATAGCCCCTATGTCCCAGGGTTACTTTGGAGTTTCTTGGCCAGAATCACAGGTCAGACTTGGAGAGAACGTTAGAGACGGTTTAGCACAAAGCTCAAATTGTGCAGATGAGGAAACTGAGGCTCAGAAAGTGAAGATACTTGCCCAAGGTCACACAGTTAATTAACAAGCCAGGACTAGATTCTGGATCAGCTCAATCTGGAAGTTCTCCCTTAACTCTGACGTTCCATGTTCTGAGGTCTCAAACTGACATTTCACCCAAGGAATGGGATTCCTCGTGTTAGAATGCAGGCAAGGGACTGTCTCACTTTTGTATTTGTAACCCCAGCATGTGGCACAGTGCCTGGCACACAGTAGGTGCTTAATAAGTGCTGGTTGATTGATTGCTATTCTAAGGCCCTTCCCAGCTCTTACATTCCATGTTCTAAGGCCCCTCCCAGCTTTGACAGTCTGAATCTGTGACCCAGATCCATCTGGTAACTCTCTCAATGGCCCAGCCTGTGTCTTACACCTCCCTCATTGCCGGGGAGTTGAGGGTCTGAGAGAGGATGGGTGCCCTGAGTTACTCACAGTATATTTGCAGATTCTGAAAGGTGCTCCTCTGTGAGGTGGCTGGGTTCGATACTTCTCAGAAATAAGGCCCTTTCTGGTAGCGAGAGACCCAGCCGCTGAGGATCCTGTTGTCTGAGGACACAGTCCACTGATGGCCCTTGGACACTGGGAAATAGTTGTAGTACCACTGAATCTGGAAGTCGCTGGTGTTGTTGGGATGGCATGTGAAGTTCACAATGTCCACATACTCGACTACACCGGTCTTGCTTACCGTGATGTTGGGTTGGAACAGCTCCTCTGGGGGAACAGGGCAGAGGGGGATGAAGAGATGGGGGCCAGGCCTCTTTAGACCCAGGTCAAATGCCAGCTTCCCCCCCCCCCCCCCAGATCCCAGGAAGGCAAAGCCAGGTCATATGAGCATCCATCCAAGGAACAACAAAAAAACCCAGGCTCCCTGCCCTAAAGCAGCTTATGTTCTTCTGGGGAATCTAATATTCAAACCGCTGAGAAAACCTAAGATAATTTCGAAAGGGTGAAGGCACCAACAATCAGGGGATCAGGGAAAGTTCCCCCACTATTCCTGGCTCAGCCCAAGGGGGCTTTTCCCTCTTCCATGGGACAGCTCCTCATCTGTTTCCACCATGAACAACTCTAGGTCTTCAGCTTATTCTCACTCATGATGGCCTGGTCTCACAGGCCTCTCCATCCTTCTCCTTTTCTCCCTCTCTTATAGAAACCTTTGGGAGGTGGGAAGGTGAGGTGACCCTTCCTATTTGGCTCTCACTGATGCCAGAGATCATTTGTCCCCAGGAAACCTAGCTACCCAAACCCACTGTCTTCTCCCACTCAATTGTATTCTTGGAGTGAGGCCTGCAAAAGTTTGTGAGATAGGCCCAGGGCTAGAGTACTATCTAACAATGTGGAAGCTTCTTAGAGAGGTAGTAAGCTCCCCATTCCTGGAGGTATCCAAGCAGAGGCTGTATACCCCTTTTCAGGCATGGGATCTCAGAGGCATGAAATATCCTCTACCTCTTGGATGCTGTGGTTGTCCCTTGCAGGGGAGACAGAGGAGGAATCTGGCTTACCCCAGACCTGGATCTCTCCAGTGGCCTCCTGGGACCCCTCAATGCTGGTCACCACTACCGTGTAGTTCCCAGCATCACTGAACTCTCATTCTGTGATGCTCAGGTAGCCTCTTTGAGTCACATTCTCCTGGCCGGTATTCGTAGGGCCAGGAATCCAGCTAGGAGGGGAGGAGATGTATGAAACAAGCATATTTGCTTCGATGGACGCGTTTGCCCGGTACCATGCATAATTGACATCACCGGTGGGGGCTCCATTGATCCGCCATCTGATTGAACTTCCAGGCAGCCTGGTCAGGTGTTCGAGGAAGAGAAACAGTTCAGCACCTGCCACGGAGGCAAGCAGGGCAACTAAGACAAAAAGGAGGAGAGACCCTGGTCAGTAACTTCCAGCCTTGTGGCCAAGGGAGTCCGCCAAGCAGCTGTTCTGGGGCAAGCATTTCACTGTTTGCTTAGAAACGTGTGCCGCCCTGGTATGCCCAGTGGAAAGAACCTGAACCTGGTATTACCTTGTGGTGTGACCTTGGGCCCTTCACATCTTTCTCCTGACCTCAGTTTCCTCATCTGACAAACCAAGACTAGATAGATGTCAACTATGTTCCTTTCTATCTCTGACATGTTTTATGTTAAATGTCTCATAGCTTTGAAATTCTATGTTCTAAGATTCCTTCCAGTTCTATTTCTGTGTTCTAAGATTACTTCAAGCTCTATATTTCTCTTTATGAACATTAAAAAAATTTTTTTTTGTATTTACATGAGGGTCCAAGCCACAGTGCGGGGAAGTGGATAAAGAGCCAGTTCAGAGAGAGGAAACCCGGGTTTCTTGTGTCTCCTCTGACACACATCCTGGCTGGATGACCCTGGACAGGTCACTTCAACATTTTAGTGTCCTGGGAAACTTTGTGAGACCTCAGACAGAAGGGACAGTTTCCTCCCTGGGAGTAGCCAACCCCAATGAATTCACAGGTGGGAGACCAAGAAAATGAATTTCCCAGTGTGTTCATGCAGGACCAGGTGTGGAGCACTTAGGAAGTCTCCAAGTTATGGGCTCATCTTGCCCAAGCCTGGGGCCCCCAGTATGAACACGAATACTTTCACCTATTCCTCCCTGGTCCCCCAATTCGGTCCAATCCTCTCACCTGTGAGCAGGAGCCTCTTGCACCGGCCATCTGCCCTGAGCAGAGTTTCCGAGGGAAGTGCCATGGGTGTGGGCGCTCCTGGGCTGAGGGCTATCCTCCTTCTCTTGAGAAGATGCAGCCAGACTACTCTTGGTCCTGACTCAGCCTCACAAGGCTAGATCTTAGCCTGCCCTGTCCTCACCCAATCTCTTCTGCTTCCTGGCTCTGCCTCCCTCTGTGTCTCTCCTTATCTGCCTCCACCTCTGTGTCTGCTTTTCATTCTTTCTCTGGGTCTGTCTCTCCGTGCATGTCTCTGCCTACCTATTTCTCTCTCTCTCTGCTTGTTTTTCTCTATCTGTCTGTCTCTCTGTTCCTCCCTCCCATCCCCCCCCACTTCCAAGACACTGAATTCTCTCCCCAACCCAAATGCTATTTAGTCTCCCAGATCACGTGAGCAGACGGGGACTTTGGCCCGGGCAAGGAGAGCTGGAACCCTGGAGCCCTGGTTAAGTGGGGACATGTTCTCCTAATGACAGCAAGAGCACCTGTTTCTTTAGTGCATTTATGTTGCCAAAGCACTTACTCCAGAACTCTCTTGGGGAGAACATAGTGCAAATATCATTATCCCCATTTCATGGATGAGGAAACTGAGGTTCACTTGTTCTTGTGTAAAAAAATTAACTTCAAAAGGACAATGAGAGGGAGTCATGGTTAGACAGCAGTTTGTCTAAGAAAGATGGGGGTTGATTCTTTTTATATTTTTAAGTGGGCTGCAAACCCACTATGAGACAGCAGGGAGATGTGGGCAGCCTGAATTGCTAATGGGCTGCATGAGGAGGCTCTTAGCTTCCAGGAATAGGAAGGTGTAGTCCTACTGTGTGCTGACTTCATCAGACCTCCTCTGGAGTACTGTGCTCAGTTCTGGACACCACAGTTTAGGAAGGACACTGATAAACTGGAAAGACTCCAGAGAAGGGAGCTGAAGAGGGTTGGTGAAGGGATTGGGCAGAGTTAGCCTTGAGAGGAAAAGACTCTGGATGGGGAGACATGATCATTGCCTTCAAGTATTTGAAGGGTTATGTGGAAGAAATTAGGTTTGTTATTGTAGCTGGGTGACTCAATGGATGGAATACTGGACCTGGAGTGATGAAGTTCTGATAGCTGTGTGACCCTGTGTGACCTCTGTCTGCCTCAGTTTTCTCATCCCTCATTAAATGGAGATAATAATAACTTTGATCTCCCAGGGTTGTTGTGAAGATCAAATAAGATATTAATTGTAAAGTGCTTAGCACAGTTCCTGGAGCATGATAAGCATTACATAAATGTTAGTTATTTAAAAAATTATTTTTTCAGGGACAGAGCCAAGATGGCGGAGTAAAAGCAGTGACTTGCTTGAGTTCTCCCCCAAACCCCTTCAAATACCTATAAAAATGGCTCTAAACAAATTTTAAAGTAGCAGAACCCACAAAAAGACAGAGTGAAACAAATTTCCAGCCCGAGACAGCCTGGATGGTTGATCAGAAAGGTATATCACGCAGGGCTGGGAGAGGAGCACAGTTCATCGTGGGCATGCAGGCTGCAACAAACCTGGAGCAGGTCTCAGAGGACTGAATCACGGGCAGCTGTGGTGGTTTCCAGACTTCTCAACCCATGAATGCCAAAGACAACTTAGAAGGAAAGTGAGAAAAGTCTGTTTCTGCCATGAGAGAGAAGAGTGGAGTCCCAGCCCCATTTGCCAAGCATGGCCCCGAGGCAGCGGCTGCCTCCTGAGCTTCTGACCCATAGACTGAGAGGGAATAGAGTGACTGATCAGAGGGGGATTGCAGGGATTTCTCTGCTGGTGCAGGATTCTCTTGCTTTGCTGGTGCTTGGATCTGGGTCACAGTTCTGGGTGGCGGTCCTGGGGTGAGGAGGAGCGCTGGTGTGGTGGAGCTTGTAGTGGCAGTGGAGAGGAAATCCTCCTCACAGTTCCAAGACAGAAGAGAGTGCTTGTGGTCACTCATAGACCAGAGCACAGGCCAGGATCTTGATCATAGCACCTTGGAAGAATTGAAAATTTACAGGTCCTTAGAAGTATCACTGAAAATAGCTGCACAAAACCCCTGAAGCTTGGGACAGTACATTCTCCACACTGGAAGCAGACCTCTACCTTAACAAAGAGTTGATAATGCAAGTAATTGGCCAGGATCATGAGCAAGCAGCGCAAAAAGAGTCAGACTATATTATCTTACTTTGGTGACAAAGATCAAAACACACAGCCAGAAGAAGAAAACAAAGCCAAAGCTCCTACATCCAAAGCCGCCATGGAAGAGCTCAAAAAGGATTTTGAGAAGCAAGTAAGAAAAGTAGAGGAAAAACTGAGAGTGATGCTAAAGGAGACCCAAAAAAATACTGAAGAAAATAACACCTTAAAAAATAGCCTAACCCAAATGGCAAAAGAGGTTCAAAAAGCCAATAAGGAGAATACCCTAAAAAGCAAAATTAGCCAAATGGAAAAGGAAGTCCAAAAGCTTACTGAAGAAAATATTTCCTTAAAAATTAGAATGGAGAAATTGCAAGCTAGTGACAATTTGAGAAATCAAGGCACTGTAACACTAATCCAAAAGAATGAAAAAATAGAAGAGAATGTGAAATATCTCATTGGAAAAACAATTGACCTGGAAAATAGATCCAGGAGAGAGAACTTAAAAATTATTGGACTATCTGACAGCCATGATCAAAAAAAAAAAAAAAAAGACTAGACATCATCTTTCAAAAAATTATCAAGGAAAACTGCCCTGATATTTTAGAACCAGAGAGCAAAATAGAAGTAGAAAGAATCCGCTGATCACCTCCTGAAAGAGATCCCCAAAGGAAAACTCCTAAGAATATTGTAGCCAAATTCCAGAACTCCCAAGTCAAGGAGAAAATATTGCAGGCAGCCAGAAAGAAACAATTCAAATATTGTGGAAACACAATTAGGATAACGCAAGATTTAGCAGCTTCTACATTAAGGAACCAGAGGGCATGGAGTATGATATTCCAGAGAGCAAAGAAGGTAGGACTATAACCAAGAATCACCTACCCAGCAAAACTGAGTATAATCCTTCAGGGTAAAAACTGGGTTGTTCAATGAAATAGGGAACTTTCAAGCATTCCTGAGGAAAAGGCCAGAGCTGAATATAAAATTTGACTTTCAAATACAATACTCAAGTGAAACATGGAAGAGGTAAACAGGAAAGAGAAATCATAAGAGACTTACTAAGGTTGAACTGTTTACATTCCTGTAGGGAGAGATGATATTTGTAACTCGTGAGTCCTTTATCAGTATTAGGGTAGTGGGAGGAAAAATAATTATATGTATGTATAGATAGATAGAGGGAACAGGGTGAGTTGAAGATGAGGGGGTGATATCTGGAAAATAAAATTAAGGGGTGAGAGAAGATTATACTGGGAGAAGGAGAAAGGAAGAAGTAGAATGGGGTAAATTATCTCACATGAAACAGACAAGAAAAGGCTTTTATAGTGGAGGGGAAATGGGGGAAGGCGAGAGGGAATGAGTGAATCTTATTCTCATAGGATTTGGCTTAAGGAGGGAATAGCATACACAGTGGGGTATGGAAATCTATCTTACCCTACAGGAAAATAAGGGGGGAAGGGGACAAGAAAGCAGGGGGTTGATAGAGCGGAGGGCAGATGGGGGGAGGGGATAATCAAAAGAAAACACTTCTGAGGAGGGACAGGGTCAAAAGAGAGAATAGAATAAATGGGGGATAGGATGAGATGAAGGGAAATATACTTAGTTTTTCACAACAAGACTACTATGGAAGTGTTTTGCATGACTACACATCTATAACTTGTACTGAGATGCTTGCCTTTTCAATGAGGGTGGGTGAGAAGGGAGGAAGGGAGAAAATTTGTAACCCAAAGTTTTAAAAACACATGTTAAAAATTATTTATTCATTCATTCATCTACCTATCCATCCATTCATCCATTATTCATTTACTTATTCATCCATCCATCCATTCATTCATTCACTTATTTATTATTCATTCATTCATTTATTAAATCATTCATTCATTCATTCATTTATCTATCGATCTATCTATTTATTTATTTCAAGAGCTGAACCAGGAGCAGAGGGTAGAAGTTACAAATGGGCTGATTTAGGCTTGAAGTCAGGAAAAGCTTGAGCTATTCCAAAGTGGTACAGGCTGCCTGTCCATGTGGTGAGGTCTGCCTCCCAGCAGCTCTGCTAGCTGAGGCCAGACAACCACTGGTCAGGCACAGTAGAGTGGGGATTCTTCCATGTATGGTCAGTCAGTCAACAAACATTTATTAAGCCCTTACTCTGTGCCAGGTTCTGTGCTAAGCCAATGAGACAAAGAGAGGCTCACACTAGAGGACTCCTTAAGTTATTTCCAAATCCTATGATTCTGTGATTATGGAGGAAGGGGGAAAGACCTCAGAATTGGAGAATAGTGAATATTGTCCACCTTTTCAAAGAAGTAAGAGGACAGAGTCTACAGACAGTAGGCCAGTGAGCTGGATTGTAGCTCCTTGCAAAGCTTTGGAACATCTTACTAAAGGGATGGTACATGAACATTTAGAAAGGGAAATAGTGAGCACCAAGAGCCAATATGGCCTTATCATAAACAGGTCATGGCAGACTGACTTAATTTTGTTTTCTCATACTCATACTTAAGTGGTGTATCAGGCGAATGTTGTAGATAGAGTTCATTTAGCTTTTAGCAAAGAATTTGATAAAATCTCTTTCACTTTTCTTGTGGAAAGCATGGAGAAATGTGGGCTAGAACACACTTGATCAGGTACTAGATCTAGAAGGCATATCCATCAATAAGTCAGCTAACATTTATTAAGCACCTACTGTGTGCCAGATACTGTGCTATTTTTCTCTTTCTTTCCTCTTTCTTTCTTTCTTTCTTTTCTTTCTTTTTTGGGTGAGGCAATCAGGGTTAAGTGATTTGTCCAGGGCCACACAGCAAGTAAGTGTCTGAGGCAAGATTTGAACTTAGGTTTTCCTGATTCCAGGCCTACTGCTTTATACACTATATGTGCCTAAAGAGGGCTGATGTATGAGTAGG